GTATTATATCACTTTATATTTATATTTTGGTGTAACTGGATTTCATTTTCAAAGCGTGTTCAATCACAATTACATTAAATTATTCACTCAAAACAATCAAAAGTGTAAACATTTAACAAAACCCCTCAGCGAGCCGGGGCACAATTATCAAACGCCGACCGATCCACAGCGATACATAGGTTGGGAATCACTGCCGTAGTGTACACCGGCTCGCAATACCCGCATATTTCACGAGACCAGCTGATTGTAGTGTAATCTCTTCACAACAAAATATTACATGTCTGCGTATTTGCGGAACAAGGAGGAAAGTAATACAATTCACCGTTTAACATATCCTTTGAAAGGAAATTGCATGGCTGCAATCAAATATCTATCACTTGCCTCCTTCATCCCTCCATTGGTGATTATATCATTCCATCCGGGAGCTGTCCTGTCTACCTCGATCAGATTTGACCTGTGTGGTTCGTATGGGGGCGAATTGTTTGGTATATGATTACCTTCTACCCCACGTTCAACTTAGACCTGTGGATCCGTCACAAAAGTGATATTTCATCGCATAAAGAAAGAAGTTACATGTAGTGATTGGTATCCATTCTGCTGCGACGGAGATCGTTCCGCTCCTTATGTGACGGACAACTTGACTTCGAGGTCAAATGGTAGCTTCTACTGCGCCTTCAACTATCCGACCGAACTAGCCTGAATACCCACCAAAACGAGGCAGCCTATCTGCGCCTCCTGTTTGGAGCACCTTTATAGTACAAAGCCAACGTTGTGCACTGTTGGCCTGCGTGCATCACTTTCGCTCTAGCCTCAGACATCTCCTTTGCTCACCTACAAAAGGGACTTGACTACATTTCAGGCTTATACCCGGTGCTCTGAGCGCACGCGTCTCCCTTCCCTCAGGGACTGTGCGCGCTCCAATGGATGTCTCAGACACCCCCATTGTCCAGTGAGGGCGCGCGGCATACTGTGCACCGGCTGAGCTCCGTTTAGTAAAGTCTCAATTGCCGTCCATTTGAGTTGGATCACGCTAGTCTCACCCAAGTCTCACAGTTTTCCTACCCGCCTCCGAAGGTGTGAGTATTCTGCGCGTAACTGTGTTCAGTCTCTACGCCATACCGAATTCTATTGGCTGGTAGCCTCTGCCCACGCAGTGCTACGTGGATGCAAGTGTGATGATTATCGGATGATAGACTTTGCATTAAGAGGAAAGTTCCTGCACTATGAATGTAACCGATTGTGTGAAGGATGTTACCAATTGAGAAATTGTATAGTTTCAAATCACATGTGAACGCAGAGCGTCATGCCTGCTCTGTCGGCAAGCCCAACTCCAAGTAAACTGTAAAGCCCAGTTCATCGAATTCATTTGGAGCCGTCGACCATTTTTCAGGTTGGCATGCCTCAATGTACGCGCATAGTTACAGATTGGTTGACAGGTATTACTTGTCCGAACATTAGAGGCCCTCTCAATAGATATCTGCAGCTTATCGGAGACCCGCCTACAAGATGCAAGCACAGTGCTCATTTTGCGATCCCCTTTAATTGACACCAGCAGCACTTTCTTATTGCGTTAATCCGGTGACATTGCAGCTTCGGGCACTGGTAAGACCAGTGTTAATATCGCTCTGTGTCTCCGGGCTGTAGCAGCTCCGGTTGATTGGATTCCAATCAGTAGCCGGTTGTGAGCAGTCCGATTGGCTGGGTCGTTCAAAGTTGCGAAGCCGCACGGGACTAACAGGTGTCTATTCCTCATTGCAGCCTATGCACCCACAAACTCTAGCGACGATTCGGTGAAAGAGGGATTTTATGGCAAATTGATCGAGCTCCTTGGCCACAGAAGAAGCTCGGACAATGTTGTGCTGGATAGGGATCTGAACGCTCAAGTTGGAAAATTTTCTACGAATGAACTGCGCCTGGGCGGCCAACATGGTGTAGGCTCCCGTAATAACAACAGTGAGCGGTTCCTTCATTTGCGTGAAGATGCTCACTCCTTTCTTGTGAGCATTAATTTCCGACACAGAACCCGCAGTAGGGTGACTTGGCGCCCACCAGCCTCGAACCAGCTATGGACGCAAATCGATCACACTGAGATAAGTTACCGACGGAGAAGCCGAGTCCAGAACTGTCACTCGATTTGGAGCACAGATGTGGACACCGACCACGCGCTTGTATGTCCTGACCTGCGGAGGTGTTTTGGCGGACGCCAACGGCGACGCTGTGAGCGCATTGACACGAGCCAACTGACGAAGCCAGCTGTTCTGACTGCGTATCAAAGTAAGCTGCCATGCGAGTTAAGTAAGTTCTCACTGGATGCAATTTAAGCTCAATGGTCTCATACTCACCAGACCACAATAGCAGCAAGGAAATCCTCATGTGGTAAGTCTAATCATCAACATGGACATCGGGTCTCTTCGCAGTCGCTGGAACTTGTGGATGCTCGCCGGCAAATTCCGGTTGGAAGCGAACACAAGAAAACTCGCACGACTCCGTGCTAGCCTGAAGAGAGACCGCACATTTTGTTGTTCTCATCGTGCTTCAGAGATGGAAATGGCCGCTGCTCTTGGTAACTATCATAAGTTATTCCGTCTGATACGGGAAACGGGTAGCAAGAGACCTGGTGTTAGTGAAACTATACGTGACAAGAGCGGACAACCTATCCACAACTTGTCAAAACGCTTGGAGCGTTGGGCTGAGCATTCGAAAGGCAATTCAGTCGGTCGGAATGGTTAGATTTCTCGCCGGCCATTGATCGTCCCGTTCCCTGAGCTGTCCCTATGAATACCTCCTCTCACTCGGAAGTCGAAAGGGTGATCGCACGGTTGAAGTTTAATAAAGCCGAGGTACTAGATGATCTTCCTCCAGCCCTCTTCAAATTCGGGGGACTTGCTCTTGTGGATGATTTATACGAGTTACTAATGAAACAGTGAGAGGAAACCGTCCCAACTGACCGGAGCCGCTCAGTCATAGTCTCAAATTCCAAGAGAGGCTCACGATCGGAAGGCGGCAACCATAGAGGAATCAGTCTGATCTCCATCACCTCCAAATCGCTTGCCTCTGTCATCATTCACAGACTGATTGACACTTGTGAAAGCCATATTCATGAAGAGTATGCCGGGTTTCGGCCAGGTCGGGTAGCATAGAACACATCTTCACTTTGCGTCAGTTGTTGGAGCACCGTCACGCATACTGGTGGCCCACCGTTGTCGTGTACCTCGATAACAAAGGTGCATTGGATTCGGTGGATAGACGGGCACTTTGGGACTGTCTTATGAGGAAAGGTGTAAATGGGAAATATGAGAAGGTTATCCGAGCATTATACGCGTGTACCTCAGACAAAGTGAGGGCTTACGGAAAGCTGTCGCCACCCTTCAATGTCTCCAGCGATGTGAGACAAGGATGCCCGCTGTCACCTTTCCTCTTCAACTTCGCTATTGATAAAGTAATGAAAATCGCGTTCACAGGACACAACTTATAAGGTGTGGATCTGCTCCCAGGAGAACGACTTCTTGACTTGGAGTGTGCTGACAATATTTCCCTAAGCTGTGACAACTCGCAAACATGCCAAGCGCCATTGAAATGATTAACACTGGCTGTCCGTCACTTCGGGCTTTAATTTGCACCCTCGAAATGCAAAACGTTCCTCCAAGGTTGCCCTGGACCGCCTCCCTCGCTGACCCTTGGTGGGGATCAGCCAGAAGTCGTTCAGAAATTCAACTACCTGGGAAGTTGTATCAGTGCCCTTGGGAGCGAAGAGGAGATCACGAATCGTATAGTAAAAGCTCGAGGCGCTTTTGCTAACCTTCGCCACTTATGCCGCTGGTGCGACATCACTACCGACCTGAAGAGTAGAGTGTGCAATGCAGCGGTACGTTCGACCCTACTGTACGTTTGCGAAACCTGCACCCCTAGATCAGCGGACATAAAGAGGTTGCTTACGTTCGACCACCGGCGCCTTCGCAATTTAGCTAACGTCTGGTGGGAACACCGCGTGAGCAACGAGCGTGTTCGACGCCTTGTTTACGGCACAGTAAAAGGAACTGAACCGCTCAGCACCATCATTTCACGTACCTGGTTCCGATGGCTGGTCCATATGTTGCGCATGTCAGCCCACCGATTATCGCGAGGTGCGTTGTTTGCGCGCCGGGGTCTGGATGGAAGAAGAGGAGAGGTGGCCAAGCGATGACTTGGTCCAGAGGAATGAAGGCCGTCACTTTGAAACTGGTCTAGGTTGGAGCATCTCGGCTCCCTGGTTGGGGTCCGAAAGACGGTGAACACGATTGGCTGGATACACTTACTGATATGGCTAGGAGCCGACCCAAATGGCGTTCGTGCTGTCAGTGCCTTTGTCCCAACCCCATCCCTCTTAGCTTCCCCCTCCAACCACAATCTCAATATTTAGTCTTGTGTAATTTTGCAAAGTAACTCTTTTTTGCTGCATAGTAGCCGGCTGATAGCTTACCGGAAGGAGGGCTATTTGTTACCGGTAGCTCAGCTGACTTGCACCTGTTGCATTTGCCCCTTTTTTCTTTATGTATTGCGGGACAGTAGCTGAAGTGTTTCCCACCTCTAGCTAACGTGTATAATGATGATGACTGATGGCAAATGTTATCAGCTAGGCCTGCAAGTTACTGCCATTCAGGGAGAGAAGCTGTTCCATGTGACCAACTCGCCAGTAATATCATCACACGGCTCCAGCAAGCAATGACCTCAGTGAAGCAGTAAGAGATGTGAGCGCAGAAACCACTAAGTTGCCTCCATTGGAAAACTAGCAAATATCGAGTGGAGAGCCCCTTCCGTTCCATACGCCCCTGCTCATCATTGTTCTCACTGCATCATTCTGTGTGGACTGCAGTTGAGTGACAACACTGGTGTTTCCTTTGTGGCGAAGTGTTTAATTACTAGCAAAGAGACATTCATAATGAGAAAGGTAGGTACGTGCAATTCAGAAGCTTTCAAATCGTATTAAGCGAAACGCATTAAACTCACAGCGTTGGGCTTACCTCGTCTTTTTCTCCTTCCAGCGTGGTGCGCAACATGTAATCGATTAATTCACACGCCTTTACGGATTGCTAGTTGAAACAAAAAAGAATCTCGGTAGAACGGGCTTACACCAGGGATTGGGAATCCGCATGTTAACCAAAATGAATGCAATCAGTTTTGGGCCAAGGCTGGGTTAATTTCAGACCTGAAAACGTAACTCAGACAAGCTTGTTACCATTTGAATTTCACCAGTTCAGAGGCCGGTTCGTGCAGTTGTAGTAGCCATAGTGCCTAACCAACTCGTCTGTGTCCGACGGCGTAGCATTACACGGTTTTCTAAGAAACTCACTTTCTACTGTTTTTGGATCCACAACACAAGTTCGTGTGACTCTATAGGTAGAATGATAAGTTAATGGGTGTAAGAATATCAATCGGGTTCACTTGTGAGTTGCATAGTCCAGTCGACGAATGGGTATCGATCACTGAGCGGGCTTGAATGACTCGAAGTTCTTATGGACGAGTCTGCGCATAGCGTGAATCATCCAACTCGCAGTGCGGATGAAGTTAAATGTTAGCTGTTGCCTGGTCTCAAGTGAATGGATCAACGTCCAGCTTCGGATTGCATGTTCCGACCCATTCACGAGTGTTTCAAAATGACCCCAAAATGGGGAATAGATTTGGTGTGGGAGTGTACAATTTCTCATCAAGGGAGGAATCACCAGAGAACTATGTTATAAAACTAAGGCAGATTCCCAAACCGTATACAAATACAACAGCGAGGACATGCTGAGATGCGGACAACACCGTTAATTGTTGCATGGTATGGCACATTTATAGCTAGGGCGGATTCGCTGAATAAGTGTACGGATGACATACGCTTGCATGCCCCAGTAGATGTCACTTATCACTGCTGTGTCCCATATTACAAAACTGAAAAGAAGAGCATGCTATCGTAACCGTTGCAAAGAGCTTAGTTGATAAGTGAACACGGTGATGAAATGACTGCAAGAATACAAGTTCATGATGGCAAATTAGTGCAAAATTGTGAATTACCTGTTCTGCAATTAGGAGCCGAATAATTTTGAAAGTCGTTTCTTCCAAAAAACCGCTCTCCACGTTTCCCTGGATAAAAAGCGTAAACGGGATTCGTCCATAAAGTCTGGGCACCAGTTTAAATATCAAAGGAAAATGTCTTTAAACGTATTCAAGGAACCGTAGTCCTATCGTACCTGATGAGAAATTAGGTGACACCACGCAAATTACCTAATGCCAGCGTGACAACTGCTACCATTCACTTTGTCGATAACTACATAGCAGCATAAACGTTGGTGTAACACCACGTGTATATAGTAGAACTCAAATTAAGAAGCCATGTTTTCCAGGGAAGCTCAATATACCTGAGCAAACAAACTTCGAACTGTAAATAGCAGAAAGTAGGAGAAGTTAACCCACATCCAACATATCCAGTTGTTTCTTACAAGCATTTCCATTCACGATTTTCAAAAGAGCAAGAAGAAAAAATATTTTAACTGGATATCCTGAACTCAGTAATTGTGATGCTAAAGTCAAACCACTCCAGATCATACAACAAATCGCACGTCGCAGTTGAACGACCTCCAATGAAGCTTACCAAGCAGATTTTCAATTGGGTTAGTGAACACCGAGACAGTATGACCTTGGACCGGAGGAAAGGAATGCCTCACCTGGACGCTGCGTGCACCACAGATGACAAGTGTGCGAAATTGGGGAAAGATTGGGGGATTGAAAAGGCGGTACTGCTCTGGTTGGGTATTAAAGAGGTACAGTGTGCTAAAAGACTATAACCACCAGCCACGTTAGCAGTGGGATTCAGTGGAACTTCTGGAACATATATCTATGCTGGGAACACAACCCATTATGACCTGTGAATGGAAGGTTCATCGCGGAGCAACCGATGGGACTGACCTCATTCTTATCTTTATACTCGTCATGCCTCACTACATGAACACATGTGACACGTCATTTCATGGCTCCATCTTGTTGGCATTCAAGTCGGTGTTCTCGGTCAAGCGAAGATGTGGTACTGAGGGATGAAGGACATCTTGCGAGATTTCGTACTTATAACGAGAACGGAAAATGTGTTAAACGACAGCAAGCCGAACGTCCACTGACCTTTCGGTACAGCTCCAAAGCGTCCAGAGCGGCTGCGCAGGATTCCCGTGGAGTAAGCACCGCAGCGGAAGTGGTATTGAACGATCTGTTCTTTGCTGCAGAGACAAAAGTCGTTTTCTGAAATTCCGCACCACAGATTTATGATGCATTGGCTCACTTCACATTCTCTTTAAAAAACTGAAGTACGGCTCAACAATGAGGCTCACATAAACAATAATCTAAAGGTGTGTTTTTAGAGGTTATGTGAATAGGCTAGGACAGCTCTAAAGTAAACAAGGTGAGTGGTGACTATGAGACCCGTGCGATGTGTTGCGAGGCAAAGATGATGCGAAAGCAATGGGATTTTCAGTAAGTGGCCACTACCTACTGATCCAAAGGAACAGGATCGTCATCGGCATAATTATGGGTCACGCAGTAGGTTAGCGGAGAACAGTATCGCAACGGTTCAGCAGGCCCAAACGCAGTCAGCACCAAAGCAGAACCAATAACCGTTAGTATGGCAACAACTAACAAATCGCAGCTCATTCACAAATTGTCAAAAATCCGTGTAGAAGGCGGTGACTAGTATTGAACGTGAACTAGATATTATTCATTTACTAAGCGGCTAGGCTTTTGGAGCCCATACTGTAGTGGGATTATAATACAAGATGTTAATCTGAGGATAGATTTGTCTTGAAATCAACTCCATCATGTTTAGTGTGACGAGGGATTGAAAACAACCATTGCTGTCTCAGCAATACTGTCAACATGCAGCGGCTCAAAAGGTACAGGTAACAAGTGAATTCTTCTCATTGAAACCACTGTTGTGTGTCAATGCAACCTGTGAAAACTTAATCTAACCTCTGCACAGTGAGGCTACCGTATCTATCGTCTCAAGCCGCATTGAACTAAGTGAGCTCTCCCAAGGACAAGGTACTACACTATTGTATTATAAATAAGAAGGTATGTTTTGCCCATGGCCGAGTCAGCAAACAAACTTATGCTATTGATCAGTCTTTTCGCTAGGTCTTGGTGCAATCATGCGAAGTTATGCACTTCTTATCCAGTCTCTGCTCGTAGGTACACACGTCTGGTGAATAGGTCCCCTAGGCCGTGCCGATCCGAATTGAAGCAGTCACTCACTGCACTAGAGGTACGATTGACGAAGAACGTTTCGTTCGTTTCCACTATGAGTTGAAACAACCAGAACACGCTATATAAGAAATTAATGCGATAAAATATTACTTCATCTTGTAGAGCACATCAAGTACTAAACGGAGTTGTTCGAGTAAAACCACGCCGTCGAAAACTGTTCGCGGATCTTATTATAACACCGACTGCTGAACAGGCAAGCCAATACAGCCTATTCATTTTCATAAGCAAATGTGAAACGTCGCGAAAGGGATTTGGGACAACCAAGTAGTACTACTAAAGAGTCGCGAACAATACGTGTAGAAGAGGAATAAGGACAGTTGAGTTCTTCTGTGAGGCATTTCATCAAGGTCATCGACATAGTGAACCATGAGACATGGTGGTTAGCAAGCTCGGATGTTCCAATAATCGAATTTATATAAGAGAATGTCTGTCTAGTTACAACTTGGGTAAGGTAAAGCTCCATATATATTGTCGGCGGCACCCGGTTCCGGATTTGCCTGTCACTGTGGCCAGCCACAGGATGCCTGCGCCTACCGAGGGACCATAGATGGATTGCTCTGCACCAATCGTACATCCCATATTCAGTGAAAACCCGAAGGAATAGGACCGGGAGGCAGGTGGGTGGGAGCCACGTTTCATTAACGGAGCCGGCACACACCTTCACAGAAAACACAAGTACGCTGCATTTTGTGAATCAAGCGCACACAAGGTGGTGGCTGGACCGTAGTCCGCTCCACACTGAGTGTATGGAACCGCTCTTCGAGCCTAGCATGGCCACAAGGAACGTGCACCCCGTCCCCTCCAGCAACAACCAACTGTCTCCTAGAGCCAGTATGAACGATGTAGTGGGTAATAGACAGGTAGGCACCTTGTCAATAAGCAAAACAAGCGCAGCAACACCGGGGATACCAAGCAAAAACCAATCACTTAAAATAAATTATCAAATGAAGTAAATCTGTTAAAGCAACCGCTATGAAGACATAACCAATCGCCAAATTGCCATATGAAGTATTATGGTAGGCAACGAATGCGCAATAAGTACAAAATGTCCATACATTATTCAAAAAATGATACAATTGTGATAAAGATAAGGAAAATAACCACAATTAGCGTAAGCAAAGTGTCCAGTTAATAGTGGATTATTCAGGTAGGCAGAAAAAATCAAATAAAGCGGAATGTAACGGATCCGGCTTAAAAATACAAAGCTTGAGTGTAAGCCGGTTTAGCCCAACTGCAGTAAAGAAGCATCATGAACGGAACATCAGTCTCAGTATGGGGCGCGATATATATATATATATATATATAGTCATCCTCCACCACCAGGAAGCAATCATCCGTTGATGCAACTTCAGAAAGCATCACAGAATTCAGCTATGATCCAGATTCCGAATGCACATTCGAATCTTGGTTCAGAAGACACACTCCGGACAGAACTGGCTGATACGGATGATGATTGGAAATCACGGTTGCTTCTTCGAAAGCTTGGAACCAAGGAACATGAAAGGTTTATAAATTTTATTCTTCCTAATAGTGCGAAAGATTTTAAATTTGACGAAACAGTTGAAATGTTGACAGAGATCTTTGGGGAAGCGTCCTCTATTTTTAACCTGAGGTATTCCTATTTGAAACTTGTCAAAAGTGCCTGACGATTTGGTGTTTTATGCGACCACGGTTAACCGACGGTGTGATCATTTCAAGCTTAAGGGAATGACGGAAGACCAATTCAAGTGTCTGGTATTTGTTTGTGGTCTTCAATCGCCCCGTGACTCAGAGATTCGTACCCGCGTACTCAGTAAGATGTAGCAGCCAGGGTCCTGTTCCCTGAAATGCTAGATTTCAGGGTGCCACCGTTTGTTGAATCTGAAACAAGATACTGCCATGATTGGACGAGAAGCAGTCCCTGGTCCCAGTAACGTGCATGCTGTGGCAAAAAGCATCCCAGCAAAGCCCACCAATTCCTATAGAAGCGACACGTTCAGCAAACCCCCAACAGTCTGCTGGCAATGTAGTGGTTGGCATTAGGTCCGACTGTGCCCAAAAAGCACCGCTGTCCGAAATGTCAAAAACGAAGACACAAAGAGAATCATTGCTACACAAACAATAGAACACTTCGGAAGACCCAGTCTAGCCAGTCCAGAAAAGCCGGACAAAATCTACATCCAAAATAAATCCTGTTATGGCTACGTTCGACACGGACGCAAAACATCGGCGTATATATGTGATTGTGCATATCAACAACACTCCTGTGCGTCTCCAGCTTGATACAGCATCTGGTATTAATCCATTATCACTAACCACATGAAAGATGGTCGGTCAACCTCCCCTAAAGCCGACAAATCGCACAACGCTGAATGCTTTCCGTGGAGTCCTGAAACTCACAGGTGAACTTATGTGTTCTGTAGGATTTATTAGTTTGTTGCTCTTCCCAACCCTGACACCCCACGACCGCGGTTTCGTCTTGGTTTAGACTCGTCAGGTGGAGATAGCCTGAGCTGGGGTGGAACTCAGAGCTTAGTAGCTCATGGCTGACGCCCTGAACACTATACTACTGAGATCCGCGAGCAATGCTTGGCACAGCGGAAAGTAATTCAAGTTGAATTTGGAAGCACGCTGTGTGGCTGGGTTGCGACTCGCAACCTCTATTGAGACCTCGGCTCACTTTGAGGTAAACCTCGGTCATTCCGATCTCGAGGACCGTATCCATTCAGGATACGGTCCTCGAGATCGGAATGACCGAGGTTTACCTCAAAGTGAGCCGAGGTCTCAATAGAGGTTGCGAGTCGCAACCCAGCCACACAGCGTGCTTCCAAATTCAACTTGAATTATGTGTTCTGTGTTTTTCAATAATGTACAATTCTGTGTTGTGTGATAGCTTTCTATACGACTAAATCTAAACCTTCCGGACCGTGAATGAATCAC